CAAAATGCAGATATATGGGTTGACGGGGTCTCTGTTTTTGTTTGTTCCTTGTTGTTGTTGTTGTCGTTGTTTTTGTTGTTGTTGTTGTTGATGTTGTTGTTTTTTGTTGTTTGTTGTTGCTGCTGCTGCTGCTGTTGTTGTTGTGGTGGCTGTGGTGGTGGTGGTGGTGGTGGTGGTGGTGGTGGTGGTGGTGGTGGTGGTGGCGGTGGTGGTGGGGGCGGCGGCGGCGGCGGTGGTGGTGGTTGTTGTTGCTAGTTGTGGTGGTGGTGGTGGTGGTGGCGGTGGTGGTGGTGGTTGGTGGTGGTGGTGATGGTCGTGGTGGTGGTGTGATGGTTCAAGTTGTTGCCAGAATTGCCGTTATTAATTTTGTAAGTTTTATATCTGTGAAATTTGTTTTGCTACATTTGTTCACAATCACTGTCGTTGTCATGGGGCATGTGTGCGCTTCGAGGTAACGGCTCCGGATATCCGGTTCCGCAAGTTTCAATGTGGGTCTACTGCCCGACGTACGGTGAATGGGTTTCGAGTTCAGGGATTTAAGGGTCTAGTCGGAGCAACTTGCAGGAGTCCGGAATTTCGGTACCCTTATGATGTAATTGTGTAAGAGGTGTTCTTTTCGTACCTAGGCAGTTCAGGCCTCCGATCAGATTCTGAGCTTGCATGATGTAAGCGAGGCAGGCTCTTCGAGATACGTCGCATCAGACCAACAATGGAACAATGAAGGAGGAATATTGTCCTACTCCCTTCTCCCGTCCACAAAACTAGCTATGTCACTGGAAATTTGCTAGGTTTGAAACGAAAATTTCTATCTTGCATGGGTAACTATTGCTTTTCGGGACGGAGTAGGATGGGAGTAGGGATGAAAATACTCCCGTCCTGCTCCCATCCTACTCCCATCCTGCTGCCGTCCACATATGTAGCTGTTTCCCACATGTACGTAGCAATTTCCATTTCAATCATAGCTACTTTCTGGGGGAATCGATATTTTTGTGGACGGAGTAGGGTGGGAGTAGTGTAGAAGTAGGATAGACAAGAAGGAACAACCGCCTCCCGGCTTATATGTACGGGTCACCGCATTCTCTATACCCGAATCTTCGCCTGATCTCGGGCTTTGTGCGTGGCTGTTTGCATCAAGTTAGCGTCTACGTTTCGGTTTTGATATGTTTAAACACTCGCTTTGTTTACAGCCTGTAGCTGTCTGATGCAGACTCTCCCTAGAGTGAGAGGAATCAAGCTGAGGCACGGCGATCAATGCTTGCGCAAAGGGTCATGAATGGCAGTTGTCTTTGGCCTTGCTCGTGGAATCGAGATGCACGTTGAAGGTGCATAATCTCATCTCCTACAACGTCGCGATCAGTGCCTGCGACAGAGTCATGGCTGGAGCCAGCAGCAAACGCAAGACAGCAGTTACGATTTAGGGTTTAGGGTTTAGGGCCCGAGATTTAGAATTCAGAGGCTCTAAGAGCCTAGATCTCATTGAGGCTACAGGTGATTTCGCCGCATGCCAGCTTTGTTTTCGGAGGAATTTGTACGGGTGACATCACCAAGAATGGCTGGATATTAATGATTGTAAAGCCCCGGCAACCTCGTCAACACGCCTAGAAAAACTCAAAGAGCCATGATGCCTTTGTGCCGCGGTTTTTTCTCGTTTGCTGCCTTGGTGAGCCGGCTAATGAACGGTCCAAAGCCTTCAAGCTCGCACCAAAAGCCCCTAACCCTTCATGGGGTTGGTTCTAGGCCGGTTTTGAAGCATGGGTGTTGAGTGGCTCTAAGCCCTAGAGGCTACATTCCAAATTGCCTGAACCGCCCCTGAGCTGCAGGAATTTGGATTTGGGGTTTTGAGCCCTGAGTGACTTTTGAACTTGAAAACATCAACTGAGGGGCCGGAAAATGGCAGCATGCCATCATCCTCCTCATGGATTTGCAGACCTTTCGCCTCGAAGGAAAAGATTTCACTAGGGTTGGGCGCAGTCTCTGTTTCTTTCAGTGAGTTTCGTGTTCAAAGAGTGTAATAACGTGCAGCCAGGTCCTGTTCGGAATGTCAGCCAAACTTCGGGTTCAGATTTTCAGCATTACTGGATCTTGGTAGACACCCATTTCAATAGGAACCCTCTGAACATCGAAAAACCTAAAACCTGCCAAACCCTATTCCCAACCTTTAACTGGACTTCTGTTGACAGGAGACCTTATCACCTACAATTCTGCTCTGAGTGCCTCGGCACGAGGGACGGCTTGGGAAGTGGCTCTGGCGCTCTGCGCGCTGCTGCAGAGGAGTCGGCTGCAGCAGGAGAGGCAGCTGTGGCACAAGGGCTTTGGACCCGCTTTGGGTGCACACGTGTTTCGGGGTTGAGGGTTTAGGGTTCAGGGTTCAGGGTTGTGGGAGTTGGCGGTTTACGCTTAGGGTTGAGGCCGGTAGGGGATGAAGCTTCGGAGCCCACCACGGCCAACCCTAAACCCCAACTCCAAATCCCGGACTCCCGGACCCCAAACCACAGGAACCTTTCGACCGCCCCGAAGAATTCAAAGAGGACCTCAAATCCTGCGTAGTGCCCTGAACCAACAGCCTTGCCTTGTGCAGGACTCCGTGACGGAAAGCACCCTTGTGAGTGCCGTCTCTAGAGCTTTGGCTCGACTGTGCAGTTTAGGTTTAAGATCTTGGGTTTAGGATTTATGTTCGGGTTTAGGGTAGTTGAAGATGTACTTAGGATGTAGGCTTTAGGGTGTAGGATGTCAGGTTTCGTGAGGGTTTACGCTTATTCAATAGAGGGGTCCTGGTTCTCAATACGACGTGCTACGTAATTCGGGGCCACCCTCACCCGGGTTTAGGGTTTAGGGTTAGGGTACCTTTAGAAAGCCCGCCATATCAGACCCAGGTCGCTACATCCGACAATTTAGGGCTCGGAAGTACGAGTAGTGGTCCTCTTGAACTGTTGAGTTCTGTAACGGTTCCTTTCACGGTACCCTCGAAGGAGCATTCAAAGGATCCTTTTGATAAGTTAGTAGACAAAAGCACAAAAACCCTTGTTCTAATTATCAAGGCCCCTATATTCAGCCAACCCAGCACCCCGATTCAGAAATACAGCCTTAAAGACCCACAAGAATGCAAAAATCCCAAAACCGGAAAGCCCTACAACAGTAAGGGGTAAGCGGTATTTGGTTAAACAACGAACCCTAGGCAACGAACCCTAAGCCCTGAAACGACCTGCATCTCCATAAAAAATTCAAGAAAGCCCTTGAACTGGAAAAGGCGGACGCCCTACACCCTAAAGCCCCTAAAGCCTTTACAGTTCAATTCAGGGGCCGGTGATTGGGAGAGTGCCTTGCAGCTGATTCGCGGATCCGCAGCCCGACCTGTGATCATGTATGCCTTGAGGGTTAGGGGTTCGGGGTTTCCGGCTAGGGTCGTATGAGGTGGTTTTGTATGGGTTGGAGTTTAAGGTTCACTTGGCTCTCATGGGGTACGGTGTAGGGTTTGACGGTTTTACAGCCTTTGTGTTTTGGGGTTCAGGGTTCAGAACCAAAGCTTTCTTGTTCGTATACTTTGGCCACGAAGGGGGTTCCCGTACGGGTAATCTCATAGAGATGCATAGAGTATTTTGAACTCGCATACAAAACCCCATACATCCTTACACACAACTTCACCAAAACCCTGACAGGAATGCCTGGAGATGAACCCGCAAAACGATTTACTGTTGGCGAGTTCATCTCCCAGGATTTGGGGGCAAGAAGGATGTTGCTTCCAACGTGGTTCTGGCTGCAGATTTTGGATGTTCAGGGTTTGCCGTGTTAAGAGCGAAAGCTTCAGAAAAAAGAGGCCGCTAACGTAAATCGGAACCTTATGAAAGCCCTAAACCCTAAGTAAGCCCTAAAGTTCCCGCCCCTGAAGATCCACAATGTTACCCACCCCCGCGAGGCAGAGTCAGCTTAGCATCGATGGATCGAATCCTTTATCCTGCAACCCCCGGTTAAGGGACCTGTCTTTGTTCTCATTTCGAGGAAAGCTTCTAAACCCTAAACCCTAAACCCTAAACCCTAAACCCTAAACCCTAAACCCTAAACCCTAAACCGTATCCCTATTGTGGCAACTTCAAGAATCGGGTTCCTTGAGCCAGAAGCTGTCGGGGCCGCGATGCTACTCGACAGAGCCACAGGATCTCCCAAAGACTACAATGTGGGACTTTCCGAAGATAGGGGGGTACCTTATTTTGGGGTCCTTATTATAAGGATCCTATTATTTAGGGTACTATATTAGGGTCCCCTATTTTCGGAAACCCCAATGTGGCTACCAGGCATATCCCAAAAGCCTCAGTCAGGACCCGATGCAACGTTTCTACCCGAACCTGGCCGAGGGTTCTCAGAGTTTAAACCCTAAACCCCTAAACCCCTGAGCCCATGGCACTCGAATGTCGAGCTTGGAGTCCAGGCATCCCACGACCTCGTTGGCTACAACAACGTGCTATCTTCTCTGCGGCACTGGAGGCAGCACCTCTCAGAATACACCGCAGTCTTCGCTCCCCCTGAAACAGGCTCGACAGTCCTTGAAACACAACAGACACCTTGGTCGTCGTGGTATCTCCAGCTGAAAATTGCAGGCTCCGGGTTTGGGGGTTCCTTTACATACGGTCCACTACGTTCAGTGCAAGCTCCTGTAGTACAGGGGACGGAATAGCTAGCAACAGTATTCCTTTGTAAGCCTTATACAATGGTCATGCGCCGAAGCACGATGGTCAACGGTTGAGGCTCCTTTTTCTGCGTTCGTTTGCACGTGTCAACTCTTCAGCAGGTCTTGTCTTCAGAGATCTCGTGTTTGGGCCTTGGGGTTTCAATCTGAGGACCTCGTTGTTTTGTTTTAATTCCCGAGTGGCAAGAGCATCTGCACTTCGGGGTTAGGGGTTGGTACAGGGGTCTGTCATAGGGGTCTAGGGTTTAGAGTTTGAGGGTTTGGGGTCCAGCGTTTAAAGGTTTAGAGATTATAGGGGCGATCAGAACCTCGAGTCCAGTGAATCATCCGGAACCCTCACCGTTGACTCCCAAGTCTTCAGGGTAATTAAGTCTTATACCCTGAACCCTCAGCTCAACCCAAACCCAATGCAGGGGCCTAACTGGAATAGGTTCCCTAGAGGTGCTACACACTAAACCCTAAACCCACTTGACTATAGTTAAGGGTTCTATCCCACCTTGCCATGGAAGGCGTGCAGCGGCACTCCTAGCCGACCTCCGCCAGTGTTTGCGAATGGAAGCTTTGCCTAGCAGAGCCGTTCTAATGTAGGGGCCTTGGTAAAGAAGGTTAAGGGGGCCTTACCAGTACCAATTAGAATAGGGATAATCTTGGAATAGGGCCACGGTGTAAGCTATACCGTAAGTGCATCAGGGAACCTTGAGGAACCCTACTGTTCGGGTAGTGCCTAGGGCGCAGTCTACGGCACAACCTCTCTAGGAAGAAGCTTCAGAGTACTGCCTGACCTGCGGCTTCAGGACCACGAAGACAGCAAGCCTCAATAGCATATTCTCAGAATTCCTTAGCCTATGTACACATACATGTGTATCTATAGATGTGTGTGTGTATATATATATATATATATGCATATATATATATATATATTCAGGTATGTATATATATATATATGTGTGTGTGTACAGCAATATAACATCCCTCCCAAAAGCCCGATTCTAGTTGGTAGGGATGCAACTCCCGATGCTGAAGTCCCAAGGTCTCTTGTGGGCCCAATGTGGGTGTCTCTTTGGGTTTACGGTTTAGGGAAAGACCGCATGTCAGGGACATCGCTATGGGACCCCGAACGCATAAACATTGAATAATCGTATCCGTGTTGGCCATCGCAGCGTTGCAACAGCTTGGATGCACCCTGAGTTGCACATCGTTTCTGTGTTACGCTGGTTTGCCATGCAGCTGCTTGGCCAAAACAGCGCACTACAGAGTTTATAATTAACCCGGAGGGTCCAAATACTCACATAGTAGGTTTGAGGTACCATCAACTATTCGGAATATGGAATCTGGGGCCTACAACCCTACTATTCGGGTACTTGGACCCTTTGGGTAAGTAAGTTTCGTAACCCCGAATCCGAAACCCTACGTCTAGTCTCTCAGCTAATCCTGAGCCCTGTATCCTGGCAAGTCGCAATCCTAAACCCAACAAGGGTTAATCCTAAACCCTATACTGAGTAGCAGCAGTAGTAGAAGTAGTAG